GGAGGGCACAGGCCAGGCTGAGAGACCCCCTCCCCCCCGAGTTCACAAATTTTTGTGCACCGGGCATCTAGTCTATATATAAAAGGCTAATATGCAAAGTGTCCCAACGGGAGTTCGACCGGGAGTTCTATCTCTCACTGTGACATGTGCTGACCACCAGGGGACGGCACGGAATGAAGGAAGGCCCCAGCCAGAAGCCAGGGAAGGGAGGCCCTGGCTGGCAGCCAGAAGGCCCTGATCAGCCCTATTGGCTGGCTAGGCCTAGGGACCCTACCTGTGCACAAATTTCATGCACCAGGCCTCTAATATATTAAATCAAGTATCTTGTGGTTAAATAGGCCAAGTGAAACCAGGAAGCCATGATTTTTCTCTTAGGAAGAAAATATATTTTGTAGCTTTTTATTATAAAAGTTCAAAAATAGATAAAAGTAGGAGAATAGTAAAATGGACCCAATACACTCCTATCCCAAATTCAAGTTAACATGGTTTTTACCATTAATCTATCACTTTATTTTTTACTTAAAATACAATTTTAAAATAAACCCAACATATATTATACTTTGCTAAATATATTTTTAAAAGAAGTAAAAACATTTCCCCTCAGACTACCTATAGTGGGCACACTAAGCCAATTTTCCACAAAAACGCTAAAACTACAAAGAAGATTGCACTGAGGTTTGAATGAGTTGAGTCCAACTGCAAATCTCAGAAAACGCTATTAGAGGTGCAAGCATTTTGAACTGGGAGGAGATAAGAGAAAGTGCCAAGTGACGTATTTCTAAGCCAAGTGAAAGGCAACAAGCAGTGATTTGAGATCATGGGAAGCACTAATTCAGACAGAAACCCAAAGAGAGACAGACCGAGTTCCAGAGGGCACTGCATGGCACTGCTTCCGGGTGGCTCTTTGTTGTTTTGAATAATTGAGTCCTGTTAGTATGAATTCTTGTGGTATCACTAGTCTGTTCAAATTACCTATTGCAAATAAACAAGAGTATACATATGAAATGTTGTTTTCTAGAGAAATAAAGTAGTCCTGCAGTCTATTTATTCTTACATGAAGGACTAATCTATCTATACTAATAAAAGGGTAATATGCTAATTAGACCAAACAAACGTTAGACGACTTTCCAGACGTCCTTTCGGACAAAGCCATGGGGCGGGGCTGAGGCAGAGGCAGTTAGGGGTGATCAGGCTGGCAGGGGAGCGCAGGGGCTATCAGGCTGGCAGGAGAGGGCAGTTTGGGTGACCAGACAGGCAGGGGGGGGGAGTTGG